TGCGATAGCAATACTTCCCTTATTGATTCCTGGTTGATTCGGTATAACAAGAATGACCTTGTTCAGAAAGTTTTCATCTTATTTGGTACATCTAAAAGGGTACGTAAAATAAAATTATATTTATCAAGAAAGTAAATATTGTTTGCCTACAATCTTCATATACAGCAATCAACTGACAATTTAAGCTATCCAATATATTACAGAATTTGAAATAGAAATAAAATTCTTTTAAATAATAAATTTTACAAAATTTTTAATTATTATAATTAGTATTCCCCCAGTAATCCAAAGTGATTATTTTAATTTTCTTCTGTCTTTATTCTAAAAAGAAGAAAAATTTTTCAACTATACAGAACATTCATTCATTTTCAATTAACTGATATTTCAGATTCAAATCTATTTGAATTAATTTTAACTGTTATACACTTCACATTTTAATATTCTAAAACAATTCTCTCTTCATTTTAAAGATGAGAGGACGTATATATCCACCATCATTTCTTATATATTGTGTACATACATTATGATTTTGTACATAATATAATTGTAAAATATATTTATATATATATGTACACATATTCACACAAATTTCATTTAAATTCATATTACTTATAATACAACTTTATTAGAAAGATTAAACCTTATTAAAACATTTAATTTTGTCTTGATTTTCATTATTATTTTTTTTTTCTTTTAATAAATTAATTATATTTTTTTTTCTATCTACGCTCTCACTCTCCATATTTTGTTTTATTTTGATCTTTATATCCTTATTAGAATTCTAATTACACAATTGTGTACAATTAATTCTACTAAAATTTACACAAACAACTTGAACAGAAAAACTAGAATATAAGAGCAACTTTCTTTATAAACAATATTAACCTTGACATTCTTCTAAGTCACCATAGTGTAATACAAATAGTGTACATGCATACAATATAATATGTATGTACGTGCATGGTGTATGAATACATTATGTAACCCAATATCTATGTATATATTTATAACAAAAAATTCTATAAAATGTGAATGGAAAAAGCTATAAATGGTAGTAAAAAATATAAGATAATCTAAATAGTCATATTGTTAAATTTTTTATTTTCCAAACTATACTCGTATATGTATGTCTCCCTAATACACACAAATAAACAAATATTCTTGATATTTAAAGTGTATGTGTTTTTATGATAAAAACTATTAAATGTGCATTGAAACGATGGCAGAGATATAGAGGGAGGGGAAAAAAGGGAGATAGACAGATAAAAATGTAAAAGAAAAATATTTATGCATTTTAAAATAAGGACATTTCTTGTATTATTATGCATACAAAACATGTATGAATGTGTGGATATGCATTGGTATATATGCATGAAATTACACATTTTGTGGTATAAAAATAAATATTCTAAAAGCTATCATCTACTTTTTAAAGAAAACCAATGAAATGTACATATTGTTGTTTAATTTTTTTCTTATATATAAGTAAAGTATACAAGATTTAAGAACGACAGCAAAAAAAGGATATTATTTTGTTTATTTAAACTTTTCTTCATTTATCTCTTTAAATTCATAAATACACTTACATACATAAATTTGTATTAACTCTATGCATAAACAATGTTCCTTTCGTTCTACATTTGTGTCGGAATAATTTTTTGTTTCGTTGTTATTCAATTATGTCTCCTGCGTCATGTGTCTCATTCTATATATTTTGACGTAAAGAGGACATGAAGTAATTTTTTATTATAAAACAGAAAATAAATTACAAAAAACCCATCTTTTTATCTTCTTTTTCACGTAGTTCTTGTAAAGATAAAGATAAATTTTCTATTCTCTTACCCAATTTTTTTGTCTTCTTCTTTCTTTAAATCCTAAACACTAGCATGGAAGGAAAGGGAATCATATACATACTATAAACCAACAAATTATCATTGAGAGAAGAAAACAAAACATTATAAAATTCTACTATTCTCCTTCTATTCCATCACCTTCTTATAAATGGAAATAGGAAAATACTTTCGGGATATTGGTGACTTTAATGTTTAAGGAACATTTTCTAATGTGAAAAATATCTAAAACAAAAATAAATGTGTGCTAAAATATATTTAAGTGAATGAAAAAACAAAAATAAAGAATTAGCATTTATTATTTTTTATTTTTTGTCAAGGATATTATTAAGGAATAGCGCGCATATTATCACAAAATAATGTCAAAGACATAAAGTTCATATAATAATTTTTTAAATGTGACTGCGAAAATATTATTAAGATTGTGAATATGATAGTGTTATGAATGTTAATCGTACAATTTTTTCCAAATTTGAAAAAACTCGCTACATCTCAATAATACGATATATAATATAGTGTCCAATCAAAAACAATATTTAAGCTCCTTCAAATCAAATTAATAATTCGCATTTTTGTTTAGAACAATCTGTTTTCCTCCCATTTTGTGGCTTAAATATAACTCTCGGTACAAATTGCGTTGAAGTCGGGATCGTAAAATTAAAGCATATTCATAAATTTTTAATTTTGAGAGAAGTTACAATTTAAAGAAAACTGAATTTAGGTCCAGAACGACGCTACCCTACTTAAAACAAAATGTCTTTTTTACAATACTTCTTTAATACAAATTTTTCTTTAGCAAGCTTCTCATAAATAATTTTTATTTTAATACCCAGAACATTTTATACCTCAAACCAATCCACAAAATTTACCACCCTACTGTTTAAAACTAATAATGTTAAATAAATTTTATAACAGTTTTTTTTTATTCACAAATGGTTCCCTCCTAATAATGTACTCAAGTGATTAAATAAAACAAATGGATTTAAGGAAAAAGCTTCTTATTTTTGTATTTTTTTTTTTAACTTTTTGTATTACAGCAATTTTGTTCTTTTACATTAAGTGAAATTTTCGTAACTGTTATTTCACTTATTTTTATGGTTTTCTTATTATTATTTTCCAAGTCATTGCATAACATGAACAATTTCTAACGTGGGAAATTCTATGTAAAATCTTTTATTTTTAAATCTCAGCAGTAAATTTAATTTCAAATCATTTTCCAGTATTTAACGTACAAATAACATTCATATACATATACACTCATACATATACATTTTAATATGTATATTAAAATATTTTCTACCATAATGGATGAACTTGTTACATGACAAAATAACAATATGTACCAAATATCATTTTTTTTTGCCGAAAATAAAAAAACATAAGTCATGCAAGGAAAAAATGAAATTTTTTGTTGTGAGAAAAATATGTTGTAACATCAAAAATATTATGCCGGAATAAAGTTAAGAATTAGTTCCCATACATACCGAAAAGAAAATTTTTCTTAGGATTTTTTTAGATGAAACTGAGCAATTAAATCAGCAGTTTGCACTTGATGGCTTATTAACAAATCGCACTAAAGTATTTCAACAGAGTTAGAACAATTCCAGAGCTGACAAACTACATTCAGACAGAGCACTTCATATGATAATATATAAGCGGGTCTTCGAAAATTTTGATTTTTGTATGACAGATTAAATCCTCGTCGACCATAGAACATTTATGCGTAACGAGAATATTTTTAATAAAAATAATGAAAAATCAAAAAATTTGAATTTTTCCATGTTTCATTTTCAAACAATACCTAGGCTTGACTTTTGAAGGTCCCTATAAATTTATTTATAAAAAATTTATTTCGAAAACTTTAAACGAGTGACAAATGGTTTACACAAGGGACATATTGTTTTGGCAGTACCTCAATTAGAAAGTTATTTAACTTGACATTAACTTCGAAATTATGGTCATTATTTCAATAATTAAGAAAATGCACATCATACTTCAGTCACAATTTGGAAATATCAAACCCACTTTCGTACTGTTCTGTTACAAAAATATCTGCCAAAAATTCAACCTACTCTTTAAGCACATGTTGAGCAACATGAAAAAATGCTATTCATACGAGTATGAAATAAAATGGAAGTATTAAAATGTTGTAAGCAGAAAACAAAAAGAAAACTTATAAAATATAGAAGGTAAAAAAAAATTCACCTAAAGGAAAGAAAATTTGATCAACTAATTGAGTGAAAAACTCAAAAACATTCTTACAATATTATTTAAATTTTTCAATATCATATTTTTAAATAATAAAAAAAAGTCCTTATATGCCATAAGATTGAAAATTGAATGAACAAAATACAAGAAGAATAAATCTAAATTGAATTGAGTACACAAATACCCACATACATGTAAGCTTCTTTATAAATTATAAAATTTTTCAAATGAAAAATTAATCGGCCATAAATAAATTGTAAAATTTTATTTAAAGAACATTATTTACTTTGAATGAATTAATAAATGTTCATTTCTTCCTAATTTCAAAAATGATTTTATTACTAAATTAATTTAAAATACCAAAAATAAGGTTTCCTCACAACTGTTACCTATATTAATAAATTATAATTTGAACGAATTTTGTAAAACAATTAATTTAAAGCAAAATTTAATAAATTGCACATAAATATTGTTTAAGGTTTATTTTTAAATCTGTTCCTTCACCTCATGTACTCAGGCCACGTTTCATTCGAATTTTCATTAAATTTATTAGGTATTATCAGATTTTTGTATTCCTTATAGGTTTCTTAAATTCTATGTACTAAATAAGGTCAAAAGTATTGTTGAAAGGCAGTACTTTTTTCTATGAAATGCCCATTACAAAGCTCCTTTCCCTCACACATTTTTAATAACATAAATTAAAAACCTTATTAATTTGTTTATGAATAAAAAATCAACTCATAAATTTTAAATGGTAATATTTCAACATTAATTTAAAGATGGCATTTCTAATATTTTTAAGTTTGGGTTTGTTAAAAATAAACCATGAATTATTCAGAAGTTTACAAATTGTATAACCCAAATCTAATGTACGTCTTTCGTGATAATAAATCTTAATAATAAATACAATCTAATTTCTTGATGTTATTATTTTCGTTGCAGGTCTGTGAATTTAAAGTTAACAAATCCTATGCAATTATTAGTTCATCAGTTAGTTTTTGGATACCTGGAATAGTTATGATTTATATGTATTTTAAAATATATCGTGAAGCAGATAGACAAGAACGAATGTTATATAGGTATAATATAAAAATTTCTTCTTTCTCTCTTGATCTTCTAAAATTAAATACATTAAATTATTTAACTGTAATATAAAAATAGATCTAGAGTTGCGGCACTATTACTTGACAAACATTTACAAATTAATCATATACCAGTACCTAGACCGAGTATACAAATTGAACAAACGGCAATAACATCAATGAGAAGAGAACGAAAGGCCGCACGGACATTGGGTATCATAATGAGTGCATTTTTATTATGTTGGCTTCCATTTTTTCTATGGTAAGTTGAATTAAACTAAGAATTTCATCATATTCACAATACATTTGGAAAACTCGTACAAATTTCATGAATAACATACAATAATTCTGTGCAATCATGATTAATTTTAGTGGCACAAAACTTAAAATATATTTAAAAATATTCTTTGATTCCTTTATCCTTATATATAGGTACATTACATCCTCGTTATGTGATGAATGTATGACGCCAAAAATTGTTGTTGGTATATTATTTTGGATAGGTTATTTTAATTCTGCTCTAAATCCAATTATATACGCGTATTTTAATCGCGAATTTCGAGCAGCATTTAAAAAAACATTGAAGGTAAGTTGGAAGTAAGTATCTCCTATTTTTCACCTATTTCTATTTTCTATAACTTTTCTTTGACAATGCAATATAATATACTGGAAAAACAGTAGATATTTGTAGCAGTAGTATAAAATTTCAATTTAAAAAATTAAATTTTAAATTAAATACTAGAATTTACACAATATATTCATAATACACTTATGTATACATGTGTTTCATTCATGACCATTAATCGATTCATAAAATGATTCATGACCATTGATTGTTCCATAAAAATTCACATTAAAATTTTTCTAATCATCCAGTACTTGAATTACATTGTTGCATCATAATTTTGCTCTATGTGCAAGTGATTTTGATATCAAATGCAAAAATAGATTTTCGTTTGTTACGCCTTTTGCACCATGTATGATGGTGCCAAATATATTTGGCTGAAACAAAAAACTTTATTTATTCAATTAACACTCAATATTGACAAAATTAATTTATTTGCATTTCAATTAAATTTTTGCAAAATTTTATTCCAATTTTTAATTAATTAATTCAAATTGCATAAAAACTTCAAACCTAATCAAACAAACATAATATAAACAAATAGACTTAAACTCATCCGTGAATTCTTCTCACGAATTCGACAAAATTCGTTATAATTTTGTTTATATTGTATTTGAATTTGAGCAACTTTTCTTATTTATTTCTAAGCTTTCCTAAACTGATCTTTGTTTATTTGCTTGTATTCTTCATTCTATTCAACATTTTAGTCTTATTTTCATTTAAACATTTTAAATTTTTCTAATATTTCTACCTTATTATTCAAATTTAATCGAAGGTAAATGCATTATTAAAGGCTGTAATGTAGCATTTTTGTTTTTAACTTAACATTCATGTTTAGTATAATGCATTTATTTGAAAATTACTTGGTTTTAAATTATAGAAAATAGATTTTCAAATTAGTTTTTAACAAAATTCCGTAGATTTTATTAAAAAAAAAATTATCAAATGAATTAATTTTATTAATTTTTTTTTTCCTTTTAACATAAAACAATCATGTAGTCTTGTTGCCCGTACACGATAATGAATTGTAAAGTAAGTGATGGTGCTGATCTTCCACCATATTTACATTCAACAGCATCATCTGAAATTCATATGAATATTATCCGTTCCAGAAATTTTTCATCAAATTATCAATTGCAGCAATAATAATGAATTTGAAATAATTGATGTTTAAAAATAATTTTTCAAATAATATCCATAAATTGTAAATAATAAAATATAAATAATTATTATATACATACATATATATTACGATACAATTTATGTATTATATATAGAGTAATTAACATAAATTGTATAGAAGATATTGTAAAGAAGGATACACAAAAAAAAAAACCATTAATAACAGATCAACACCAAAAAAAAATCAAACAATATGTCACTATTTAACATTAATACAAAAGGAAAATAAGAAATCATTATTAAAAATAAATGGAGAAATAAATAATAATATAGAGAATAAAATAATTTAAATAGAGAACAATAAGAAAATATCATTGAAAAGGACAAAATTAATGATGTGGAAAAGAGAAAAACAAAAACAATGTATATGATGTGTGTGTACACATTGATCCTTTATAGTTATTGTACTGTCTACAGGATATCAACCTTAATTTTAAAAAGTCTATAAACAAAAAGAAACCAAAAAGAAAAAATTTAAAGAAATCATACAAAACCCAAAAAATATTAGCATATTAAGGACAACAACAACAATATTTTAAGAATAATAAAATAACAAACAAAAAAAATTATATTTTAATTTTTTTTTACTAGTGTTTTTTTCAAATTTTTTTTTATTTTGAACACATTTTGATTTTATACTCGTGTAATTTTAATATTAAACTTATTGTTACATTTTATAGCCATCGTGTACATAAAATAAATATATAAATTTGTAGGTTTGTAGTATATAAGAACAGTCATTAAATTGTTAAAAAAAATTCATTATGTATAAAATGTAAATGTTAAGCTGGGGACAATCTTGAAAACAAAAAAAAAAAAAAACAGAAAAAATTTTCTTTATGCATTTTCTCGTTTCCCAATCAAAAAATCAAAAATTCTCCATTCTATCGAGTCTCGTCCAAAAATTTAAGTGTTTTGTTTTTGTTGCTGTTTCAATGTTAAAAATTTTATTTTCACTTCTAAGTATTCTTATTTTTTCAGTGAATTTATGTATATATAAAAGTGATGTGTAACTGTATATTTCCATGTATGTTTGTAAATATAGAGAAATTTAAAATAACAAAACAAACCACCGAAAATTAAAATAAAAAAATTATATAGAAAATAAAAAAAATATGAGATATTTATTAAGTAATATTTAAGAATAAAAAAAAAGAAAAACAAAAGTTTGAGAAAAAAAAATACATAGGAATCCTTAAATCCTTGAAAAATAAAAATAAGTCTTAAGAAATAAAAAAAAAAAGCAAAAAAAAATAATTTAAAAAGTTGAGAGTTTTTCTATTTTTATATTTGGCTTCATTTTCTATTGAAATTATTTGATATTTGTAAAAAGGAAATCCTATTTTTGCCAACTCAAACAACATTCCGAGTTGAAAAACTTAAATTAAATTTTTTTTTATAAAAAAATATAATTAAAAAGTAACTAATAAGTAGCATATACTCGTATAACAAGGTTTTCGCATCAAACAAATTTTTGAGTTTTTGTTCCTTTTTTACTTTAAAATTGGAAAAGTCATCGCCACAAATTATTCTCATAAGTAATTTACTTAACATCCACGTGCATATTAGAAATGGTGAACCTACACGTTTGTCCCGTTTTGAAAGAAATTTTTATTGGCTAACAGAAGACTGAAGGACAAATCTATATAGGTTTTATAAACTCTACTCATTATCTTTGAAGTAGCCGGTGCAAGAGGTCCACCGCATCCCAATTACCGCAAATGTGCCGTTTTGCAACCACTACTTCGTGATCATCAGCCCGTCATTGAGAATACGAGTACAAGTTGTCTATCTAAGTGCCCCGGTTCTCTTAAGTATATTTCAGTATATCTAAGTCCCCGATGCCAAATTTCGATATCTCGTCTAGCCCTTTCTCGCAGAGATAGCACAGTATCCAATGGGTTAATATTCAACACATATATACATACAATAAAAATGATTTTTTTTTTTAATTTACTTATAAATCCTTACAATTTTTTAAAACCAATTACCATTAATTTTTTATTCACAACAATTCTTGCTAAAATCGCCACATACCAAATCTATACTCTAATAATATTCGAAAAATAATTAAAGCTAGAAAAACAATTTTACTTTATTAATTAAAACAAACACATATACAAAACATATATAGCTATAGAGGATTTTATTAAATTTAATTATTTTTATAACACTCATTCTTTTTATATATGTCTTCATAATATCTATACTGTTATGACAGTAATATAATAAAAATAATATTGTTTGATGCGAATACATAAACAGCTCTTAAAATAAAATAAAAATAATAAAATATACCACAAAATATTAAATTCAAAAATAATATTTTGTTTTTAGAAAATACTCAACACATCCAATAGTACATATAGAGTATACATTTTTTGTATATGCTCGTATATAAATGCAAATAATAATATATAAGAATTATTAAGCTATAATATTATAGTATAATATCTAGAAGAAAGTAAATTTAAGTATAAAATTTAAAAATTGTTCCAAGGACTGAATAAATTTATTTTCTATGTTATTTCTATACATAGTCAACTTTTTTATTTTCTTCTATTCAATTTTTTTGTTTTATTCCTGCTCATAAATAATATTCTGTTTGTAAGTAAGCATGTTTGGATATTATGTATGTATAGTTATAAAAAGAAATTCCAAATAAAATAAAATCGAAGTTTTTATAGAAAAAAAAAAAACAAAATATTATAAAATTGGGAATTTTATAAAAAAAAAATTTTTAAATTTTCAGTATCCAAGTGCAGGAATATAAAAATACTTGTACATTTATACCCTTGTATACTCATATTAACCAAAAAAAATTATAAATTCAGACATCATACACTTAAAATTCAAATAATTTGATATGAGAGATCTTTTTACCTATACAAAAATTCTATATGATTCTATAAAATTTTCATACAAAATCTAAGGATTTCTTCGTTATATGAAAGTATTAAATTGTTTATAATATTATGCATGTGTATAACAGATTTTTTTGTAATAAATTTTATATTATGGAATATTTTAGTTTAAGTTACATTAAATTATGAAAGTTTCTGGTAAAAAAATGTAGAAATGTTGTTTAAATTTAGTAAGACAGTTTAAGTCTAAGGTTTAAATCTAAATTTTTAGTTAATTTTTAATATTTCTATAACATTTTTTATGAAATTTGACTTAAACTTGCAATAAATTGAAATTTAATTTATTTATAAAATGTTATCTTTGATTTGCGGTTCATTGTTTTGCAGGAATTAATTTTTTTTTTGGCCTAAATAAAGTTTAAAGATATGAGTACAAAAATAGTTTCAAATTACAATAGAAAAAATTTTAAACCAGACATTTAGCTAAAATTATTCAAACAAGATAGAAAAAAAAACTGCACAAATCAAATGATTCTTCTATTATTCAAAAATTATTTATTGACATTTTTAACTAAATTTGCTTTAAAATGTAATTTATTAGTATTTCTTGTCCTTCTGTCTGGATCTATGCGTTTATAAATCCATTTTTACACGAAAACCCAAAGAAATTTACTATGAATTTGCAGGCATTTAAAAAATTTAATTTATAAAGAGTTACAACTTTTTTCTATCCTTCCTCTCCATACATCCTAAATATATGCAATCATTAATTTAAAAGAGTCTCAGTTTAATTTTTTAGGTCTATTTTATGCAATTTAAATTTTAAATTCATTTAATTTAGTAAAATACTTATGAATTTATTTGTTACTGTAGTTAATGTGTTATACTCCACATATTTATTTTGTTTACTATATAACAAATCGGTTATGAACTCTAGTCTTACTGTTTTGCAATACTATACTGTATATGAATTATAATAAATCACAAAATTTATTAAAAAATATTAAATAAAAAGTAAAACATTTTGCTCCATAAAGTAATTTACTTATACAAATTGTAAATCTACTTTTTCGATTTGATTTCATGCACTACATTATGTAGTGCTTACCGCACATTCATATGCACATAAATATATACACAATGCACGTACGACATCTCTTCTTGAATTCCAAAAAATTTGATACTTCAAAATAATGATATTGCAATTTTTTATTTCGCATGGACATTTGAACTCTTGTACAAATTTAGATTACCTAATGTTAGATTTAGATTAAACTAATGTTATTTAATTTACATAATTATACAAATAATTTATACATAAATACATACATATGTATATACAAAATATTTAAAGATCTATGCTTACTTATTTAAATAATATTATTTAAAATTATTTTAATATAGGTACTTATGTAATGTTTTTAAGTAGCTGTAAATAAATAAATAAATAGGTATTATGTAAGATTAAAATATTTTGTTATTAGATTTTTTTTTCAATTATAAAAACAAAAATAAGTTAAGAAGAATTTTTTATATTTTCTTATAAAAATTACTTATATACATAAATGTTATACTATGTATATAAGTTCATATTAGTAAGTAATTTGCAGTTAAAATGAAATAGGTGAAGATTATTGCATAAGTATATAATTAGAAATAAAAATATTATATATATGTAGTTTGTATTATATACATATGTATATGTATATTTATTAAAGATGTAAATTATAGATGTACAAAAGAGAATAAAAACTTGAATAAGAATTTTTATTATGTAGAATTGCAACATTGCTATATAAAAATTAAATCTAATTTATAATCAAACATAAGGTACATAAATACATTATATGTGCATATGTTTGTATAAGCATGCTCGCAATAATAGTTATTTTGTTGAATATAGATATAAAAATTTCAATTTTAGTACAATTTTACTGAAAGTGTAATAAAAATTTTACATAATATGAAACTTAGATAAGTTGAATATTGACGATAAAAAAAATGGAAGTTGGGCACTTGAAGAATTATATTGAATGAATTCTATAATATTATAATGTATTCTGGTTAACATTAAATTTAAATTAAAATTCCTTCATGAATATCAGATTAACTATTTGTACTTATCAAAAATTGAACTTGGAATTTTCATCGTAATAAACATGCGCAGATTATTGAAATTTAAAATAAATGGCAAATTGATGAAAAATTAAAATTATAAGATTTTTATTCTTGCTTTTTTATATATGAGTAGTTCAGAGAATAAAATAGAAAATGGCTCTTCCTCGTATTTGAACTGTTCGATT